CACTGGACCCCCCTGGACACAGTCCCAAACAGCTCCCAAAATATTCCCAGGGGACAGGAAGGGACAGGAATCCCCCCCATTCCAGAACAGCTCCCAAAACATTCCAGGGCACAGGAACCCCCTCCCCATCCTCAAAACAGCTCCCAAAATATTCCAGGGGGGACAGGAATCCCTCCCCATCCCCAAACTATTCCAGGGGGCAGAGGGAGGGACAGGAATCCCCCTCATCCCCAGAACAGCTCCCAAAATATTCCAGGGGGGACAGGGAGGGATAGGAACCCCCTCCCCATCCCCAGAGCAGCTCCCAAAACATTCCAGAGGATGGGAATTCCCTAATTTGGGGGGCACTGGACCCCCCTGGACACGGGGGGAGCTTTGGCCGCCCTCTGCAGCCGCTCGAGGGCCCGCAGCAGCCCCATCTTGTGCCGGATGGAATGATCCAGGTTGACGGTGACCCCCAGGAATTCCCGGGCCTCCCGGGCCGTGAAGGGGAAATCCGAGTCCAGGAAAGCCCGGAATTGCTCGGGATCCCCGTCCAGGCTGAGCAGGTTTCGCAGCGGCTGCCGCAGCGCGCTCAGCTCCGCCACGTGCGCCTGGAACACGCTCCACAGCTTCCTGGAGCCCGGATCCGCCGCGGGATCCGCCCCGGGATCCATCCTGGGATCCGGTTTGGGATCTGGGGCGGGATCCGGGGCGTCTTCCAGGCACTGCAGGGCCCAGCTGAGCCGGCACGGCCACCGGTCCGCCAGCACCACCCAGGCGGCCGCCGCGCGCGGCGACGGCATCGCCTCGTATATCCCGCTCATCCCGCTCTTCCCGCTCATCCCAACGATCCCGGTGATCCCGGCGCGGTGCAGGAGGAGCCGCAGGGTGATGGGGACGGTGTTGACGATGCGCCGGACGTGGGCTCCGTTGGCGGGGATGTAGCGGGACAGCGCGTCCGAGGCGTCGTGCAGGCAGCGGAACGCCTCGTGGATGCAGCGCACGGCATCCACCTCGGGATCCACCTCGGGAAAACCGGGATGGGACATGGGGATGCCGGGAATGCCGGGATCGGTTGGAGGGACGGGATCTATCCGGTACTTGGCGCGGCGGCGCTCGACGTTGGCGGCGATGATGCGGTACATGAGGTCCTCGCGCGTCTCCATGGCGGCCTCCAGGCTGCGGAGCCGGGATCGGGCGCCCACGTCCGGGATGGAGAAGGGCAGGGACACGGAGCGGCTCAGGAAAAGGTACCCGTTGTCCGCCAGACCCTTTTTTTGGGGGAGAGAGAAGAATTCCTCGTTTAAATTCGGGAAAAAAATTCCAATTTTAAATTTCGGGAATAAAATTCCTCTTTTAAATTTAGGAGAAAAAATTACATCTTCAAATATATTTAAATATATTTATAATAAAATACCAAATAAATAGTTTTTATATGTTATACTTTTATACATATTTTTATATATTATATTTCATATCTTTAAATATATTTAAAGATATTGAATATATCTGTAATAAAATATAAAAATATACAATTTTTGTATTTTATATTTTTATACATCTTTTTATGTAAAATATTTTATGTATTTAAATATATTAAAATAAAATAAAATTAATACATTTAAATAAATATATTTATAATAAAATATAAAATATACAGTTTCTATA